TCCAGTTAACTACTATATAATAACTAGAATTATATTATATAATTATCTAGAATATAGTTTTTATAAATTTAGAATATTTAGTATAATATTAATTATTATACTTATATATAGTCTAGAAAGTAGCTATATAGACTCTTATAGACCATAGAGCTTATATTATTTAAGCTTATTTATATAATATACTAAATAGTTTCTGAAAATCTTCTTTACTTAAAATACTAAGTAAAGTATTTCATATATTCTAGCTAGTTATATTACTACTATTTTATTCCTTTTATATCTATCTTAAAAAACTTATATGATTTATTAATAAGATTTGATATTATATATAAATATATAGATATTTAATTCTCCAAAACTATATCTCTTTACTCTTATTAATTATTGAATTAGGTGGTTATAGTCTACTTTATTAAAGGTAAATTACTAGTGGACTACTTTTTAGTATAATTCTTACTATAGTAATTCTATCTACCTAGCTACCTTAGCTATATTAGCTAATTCTAGCTACTTATACTTTAGATATCTATTAGATTTTATCTTAAGTAAGATATTATATTATTCTTCATAATTTTTTTTAAATAAATTTTATCGTCTACTTCGAGTATATATTACCTTTTTAAGCATTATTACGTAGTATATTCTCTAAAAATTTATTTAGAATAGTATGTTTATATATTATACTCTTTATTGATAAAGTTGGCTAGTTATTAAATAGTTATAAGATTTCAATGAATTTTAAAAACTTTAATTGAATAAAAGAGCCATAATGGATATTTTTTCAATAATCTAAAGATATTAAATACTTTAATGAGTTTTATATTATAAATATTATAGTTAATTTCTACTTTTAGAAACTTAAATCAATACTAAAATACTAAAATTTGATTTTGTTTTTATATAATACTATAGTAATAGAGCTCAGAATATATAATAAGATATATTAGTTTTAACCTTAGTAGATTAGTAATAGCTATATCTTAAGTATTAGTATTTCGAAGAATATCTAATCAATTTTATAAAAAGTCTTCTAGTATTTCTATTTATATCTAAACCTTTCTTTCTTCTTTATAACGTCTATAACAAGTATCATAACATTTAATTAGTTTTATAAACTCTTAATATTAATTTTTAATTTCGAATAAGAACTTATTATTTTCTACTGTTGTAAAATATTTGCTATTTCTATATAATCTATATCTTTTTTAATTTAAATATCAATTTTTTACTTAAAATGATACATTTAATAAATTATTTTTTTAAGAAACCTTATAGTATTTTAATTAAAGATATAGATTATATTTTTTTAGTATTTACAAGATCTCGTTTTATACATTATATACAAAATATACTCTTTATTTAAACTACTAGAGTGTACTAGTGTATGCTCTATATACATAGGAATAAAGATACTAAAATCTTTATAGAATACGTTAATTATAATTATTTAAAAGATTATCTATATACTGATTAATCTAAATAGTATACTTATATTCTTAAATAGTCTAAAACTAATCTTAAACGCTTTTATATATCTATAATCTTTATCAATTATAATTTAGTAAAAAAAATTTAAATATTAGACTTTAGAATTTACGTACCTCTCTGGAGTTCATTTATAAGTATTTTATTTAGTATTTAGAGATTTTACTTCTTCTAAGTAATACTATCTAACTTTATAAAGTTAGCATTTACTTACTTTTTTTTATTTAACGAGTTTTACAAGTGATTAAGCTCCTCTAGTAATTTAGCTACCTCTCTACACTACTATATATATATAATAGTATTATATAATACTACTATAGTTTATAGCTTTTAGTAGAATAAGATATTATTCTCAAGACGAGTTACTATTCTTAGTATTCTCTAATTCTACTTAGTAAGTATAAGAGTTATATATCATTTAGCTATATTACCTAAAGTAATAATTACTCCGTACTCTCTTTATAGACGTTATACTATTATTATACTTATCACTCTCTATCTTAGCTATCTAATTAGCTATTTAGCTAACTATCTAGAATCTCTCTAGTAATATATAGCGCTACTTATAATTTTTTAATTTTATAAATACTTTAATATTATCTTATAGATAATTTATTCTTTTTATATTAATACTCTATAATAAGCAATATACTATACTCTCTTATTTTACTACTATATTTACGTTCTTAATAGAATTCATTTAAGATTTTTACTAGATTTATTTATCATTTTTAATAAGTATAGTCTAAATCTCCATTTTGTTAATAATATATAGTATATTAAGCTTCTAAATAATACTTTTTCTTACTAGTAGAGTTAGTATATATAGTATATTTAGCTTCTAAATAATACTTTTTCTTACTAGTAGAGTTAGTATATATAGTATATTATTAAGCTATACTAAAATAATAGAGTAATTATATAGAGTAAGCTTAGTATCTCAATACTCTCTATAGATATTATTAAGTATAATAGTTTTATGATAGGCCTATTTAAAAATGATAGAAAGATTTCTATATTAATATAGTAGATATAATCATATACTAAAACTAAAATAGTCTTACTAAAAATATACACTAATAGTAAGAAGTAGTCTATATTAAGAGACTATAGAAGATATAATATGTAGAAAAGTATATAGAGAAGGATTATTTTTTTTCTTATAGAGATCTTAGAAAGTTATTAAGTAGTAGCCCTTATAACTATAAATATTAAGCAGCTTATATATCTTTATAAGCTATATATAGAAATTAAAGTAATAAAGCTAATTAAGTACTAGACTATTATTTATCTAAATAGTAGAACTAACTTAGTATATTTAGTTATATAATAGATTCTCTATAAACTTAATAGGGATTAAAATCTTCCTAGTAAAGAATAAGAAATATTAGAATATATATACTTATCAATCTAACGCCTTATGTTAGTATAGTCTATATATAATTACTTAACTTAATCTTCTTTATTTATTCTAGTTTATCTAGGTCTATAATAATTAACTATAAGAAAATCATATTTATAATAAAGCTAGTCTTATTAATGTTATATATATTTTTATTTATAATACTCTACTTAATATTAATATTTTAAACTATCTTAAACTAGCTTTTAATAAGTACTAGATCTTTATAGAGAGCTTACTAGTAATTATATAGATAGCTCTAGCGTATATAGAGCTTAAAATTATACTTAATAAACTTATTAATTTTATTCTTTTTTATCTTCTTTCTTATATACTCTTAGAGTAGTCTATTAGCAATATCTTATATATTACCTCTTCTATAAAGTAGTTTTTACTTAGACTTAACTATTATATACTTAGGAATATTCTTTTCTTTTAGATTTATTTAACTCTAAATTTATAGTTTATAACTGTATTATAAGTGTCGCCTAGCGCGTTAGCTATAAATTATTAGTTTTAGAATATTATAGGTAATTATAGCGTATTTCTAACTTTGAATTTATTTAGAATTAAAATTAGTAATTGTAAGAAATAATTCTTCTTTAGTATAGACTTTTAATATATTATATTGTTGAGAAACTACGCGGTATTATTATAGAGGTGGGGTATCGCGGGGAGGTGGCCGAATCACTAGGGCGGCCGAATTACTAGCGAAACACGTTAGATTATTTATAAATAAGGTAGAAAAGAGTATTAGGCTTAATCTTAGTAGGATAAATATCTTCTTTACGTTCTTTTATAAATAATTCTTTAGCTTAGTATTATATTTAGGCACTATAGAGAATATTTTCTTAAAGCTTAACTTTACTTCTTTTTCTAATATAACCTTTAGTTCTAATCTTAATATTCTTCTAAATCTATTACTTTTTTTTCTTAAATAGTTCTTTAAACTCTAGTATTAAGCATCTTACTATAATTACAATTAGTAGATTATTCTTTCTAGGTATATTTTATAGTATTATATCTTATAAGTTTAATAACTTAATTGATATATTATCTTATTTTTTAGTTACTCTTATAATAATAGTACTCCTATGTAATCTAGAAAATTCCTATATAAACCACGGATTATAATTCAAGTTAAAAGATATTTACTAGTGCTAATTTTAAAATAGTTATTACCTACTAAACATTTTTTTGAAGAGAGTATTATAGAGAGGTAGAATAAATACCTTCTAAAATAAAAGGTAGCTCATATAAGTATAAATTAAGATGGTTGTAAAAACCTAAGTAGTAGATAATATAGATAATAAGTAGATTATTATAGCTAGAGAACGATTTAACTATAGACTTCAAGCTTCTTTTATAGAACGCTTATAGACTTAACTAACTCCTAAGTCTATTTTATATTTATATATAAAATATTAAGTTTTAGTGTAATGACTCTTAGATCCGTGATTTATAAGATTTAAAGCTTCTTTTATAGAACGCTTATAGACTTAACTAACTCCTAAGTCTATTTTATATTTATATATAAAATATTAAGTTATTAAATAATAATACTTAAACTAACAATTTATAATTGTTATATATACTTAATAAGCTGTTCAAAATCAGAAATAAATTTATAGATTTTATATTAAATTTTCAATTTAAAATTAGCGATTAGGAAATATTCAGTTGTAAATAATCACTTTAAAACTAATACTAATAAATATTTTAAAGCTAAGTTATAATTCTTAGTTTATATATAAGTTTACAATATTACTTAGTAGTACTATTCTAATAATAGTAACTAAGAAATAAGATAATATATAAATTAACGTGCTGGATAAGCGCGTTAGCTAGACAGGCGAGTTAGCCACCCCACTAAGTTTACCTACGCGGTTTAACTCTATAGATAACCACTCTACGTATTATATTCTAAATACCTTTAGATAAAATACATATTTAGCTTACTATCTTTTCTCTTAATACTAATTAAATCTATAGTAACGAATATATAGTAGGAATAAATAATGTAATATAAATAACGCTATAGAATAGACGTAATAGAAAGCCTACGCGACGCAATTACTAGCCTAACTTAAAGAAGCTTATTAAGCTAGAATAGAAGGTAATAGTTGATTATATACTTAATCTAGATATACCTAGATTTACACCTACCTATACTACTATATATAATATAGCTAATAGACTATTAGCTACGCGTAGTGCTAACTAAGTTAAATAGAAGTAGCTAGCTAACTTTATTAAGCGTAAAGACAGACTAAGAACGCGTTTAAATTAGATATATAATAGGTAAAAAGCTCTATATAAAGATCTAGTCTTGATTAAGAGCTAGTTGAAGCTTATAGAAAAAATAAAGGCTAAGTAGAGTATATATAATAAAGATATCTATAACTTTAATAAAGATAGCTTTATAATAGATAAGATTACTACTAAGCTTATTATCATAGCGTTAGAAAGAAGAGCTTTACTAAAAGCTATCTAGCTAGGTAGATATACGTAAGTAAATATTTATCACTATAATTAATATAGCTAGCTAGTCTATTCTATTATTTCTAATCTTTACTAGTTAGTACTACCTTTCTATATAGTATAAGAAGATAGAGATTCTATATAATTAGATAATTATAGTTAGTAATGATAGCTAGATAAATAGTGAGCTAATTATTATATATATTAAGTACTTTAATATTTATATATAGATTTATATTATTAGTATATATTAATAACTTATTCTTAATAGCTATAAAAGCTACTACTCTCTTAAATTCTAAAAGTTCTCTAAAGAAAAGAATATCTATACTCTTAATAGTATTAAATAGATAGAGATAGGTATTAGGTTAAGTTATATAGAGTTAGGGTAGGTTAGATAAGGTAGTAATTATATAAGACCTAATCTCTATCTTTATCTAACTCTTAATAACCTAACCTCTATCTCTTCTTAACTCTTAGTAATCTCTATCTTTATCTCTACCTAGCTCTTAGTAATCTCTATCTCTATCTCTATCTATATAAAATACTAAGAGTTTAGTAGAGATAGAAGTTAAGTCTTATATAATTACTATATTTTTCTCTAGTTTCTATCTCATTTATTTCTATTTTTATCATAGTAATTTAATATATATTAATTGAATTAATTACTAAATAGAAGAAAATTTCATTTTAATTTTATTTTTATATATATCAAAATGAGTATAGATAGAAATAGTAAAGCCAAAAACTAAAACTAGTTTGCTTCTTCATATAATAATAAACTAATTCTATATTCTTCTTCGTAATTATAATTTACTTATTTTAAAAATAATTTATATTATGATCGAACTATGTTAGTATGATGTTAAAAGAGTAAGAGAAAAATACACCCTTACAAAACTAAGAAAAAGTTACTTAGTAGATTCTTAAATAGAGCTAAGAGTGATAGTCTAGAAGTACTGATTATTCTTAATCTTATATATAATATAATAAACTAGATATATAAAGAGCTCTTTATAAAGAAGTAGTAAACTAAATTTCTAATACAACTTAATTTTTTATAGTATTTTATCTAATAAATAGTAGTATGATTATATTATAAAATATAATAATAACTTTTTACTAGACTTCTAGTAGTACTTCTTATATAAAGTAGTTGAAATCTTTTTAAATTTATTGATAGCTTTTGAATAAAAGTGTTTTTTTGATATGTTAGTATAAGAAATCAATATAATACGTAAAAATTTAGTTTATACAAAAACAAAAAGTTAAAATATAAAGAAAAATATTTGGTTATAGTAGTAGTTATAGGATTAGTTAATTAAAAGCTTTAGTANATTATATTATTTAATATAGTTAAACCTTTTAGCTAATAACAAAAATCTATTAGAGTCTAATAAAAGATATTAATTAGGAATTATAAGATTAGCTTTAAACTAAGATAAAGATTTATAATAACTTATATATTACAACTTTAGAATTTAGTAATATAGATAAATCTACTTAGGAGTTAATATTATAATTAATTAGATTTATATTCTAATATATAGTTCTAGAGCTTACTATACGCTATCTATACTACTAATATCTAAAGTTTAAAGTATATTTTATACTTTTATAAAAATTTCTAGAACTATAATCTACTATATACGTAACAAAAATTTATAATAGTTAAGTAGTTAATAGAGTTAACTAAATACTTGTAAACAAAACTAGAATTATTGAGTTTAGAATTATCTTAATACTGATAACCTATTTTAAAGTAATTATACTAACTAAATTATACTAGTTACGCTAGTCTATATAGATAATAAAAGAAATCTAAACTTTAGTTTTATAATTTATTCTGCTAACTTATCTTACTACTTTTTCTAAAATAGTAATATTACTATTTTTTATTTACTACATACTTTTATAAGAGGTAACTATATACATAATTAAGAGTAAGCTTACTAGTAAAAACTTATTTAAATAGTTAGCTTAACATATATTAATTATAAATCTAGAGAGCTTTATACTATCGAAGTAGAATAAACTAACCAAGATATTGAATATATTCTTTTATTATAGTAATAATTAATCAGTATAAAGCTTTAACTATAAGTAAAATAAAATAATTGATATTAGTACTAGATAGAGCTCTAATAGCTTCTAAAAAGACTACTCCACTAGTTTAAGTACTCTATATGAGAGCCAGCTTAGTAATACTATTTATACTAATATATAGTCAGACTATACTACAACCAAATTATAAAAGAAAGAAACTTTTAGAAAGCTAAGAATTCTTTTTCTAATACAAAATATATTGTAAGTAAGAAGGTAAAAATCTTATATAACTATATTAATCTTTATAAAGTTATAAAAGTAAATTTTATAACTAATAAGCTCAAGAGACTAATAGAGTAATATTATTTTAATAAATGTAGTAGTTAATTTTTATCAATTCTTATTATAGTTGTATACTTATAATTACTAACTAAGTAGATAAAAAATAATCTAATAAAAGTATATAAAAGGTATTCTTAAATCTAAAATAAGATATATAAAAGATAATATATAATTATTCTTTAGTATTTACATAAGTTAAGTATAAGTTTCGTTATGATATATACCTATTTATAGTTGATTAATTTTTTTATATGGCTTTAGTGGTATTTTTACGATAATTGTACATAATAAATACTAGACTAATCAACTTAAGATCTAGAATATCTTGTTTGGAAATAAGATGAATATGAATATATAGTAGATATATATCAAGAATTTAATACTAGCTAAGCTAGTATCATTTTAAATATCTAATAGAAGTAAGTTATTATAGATTTCTTTATATATAACTACCAATTTTAGTTAATTAATATATAAATTTTTCTTTTTAAAATAAGTTTAAAAAAATATATTACTAGAAGATGATAAGCTATATCTTAAAAAATTTTATACTAATAAGTATAAAAAAAAGTTTATAATAAAAAAAAAGAGACTAATAAAAATGAGTATAAGATAGAGAAAAGAAAGTAACAAACGATTAATAATAAGTAGTACTAAAAGAATTTAGATATAGATTCTAACTTTAAGTTTAAAAGATTCCCTAATAAAGATAAAAAGTAACCTAGTAAGCTTTAATCTTATATAGAGATAAAGAGGTAATATTAGGTCTACTTTAGCCAATTAGTATCCATTTTACTTTCTCAGCTAATTTTATTAGTTTAATAGTATACTAATCAATAATACAATTAATAAATGTAAGTCTTTTTATCTAATCATTATCTTATAGTAACTAAAGATTATCTTTGATATGTTTAGACTATCTAAAGATTAAAAGAAGAGAAGTTACTAATTGTTACTTAAATAATATAGTATTTAGAAAGAGTTCTTAAGCTTTTATATAATTCTAAGTATACATATTACAAGATTTTATTATATTACAATTTCTACTTAACGTGGTTCACAAGCGAATGGCTCACCCAAGCGAATGGCTCACGCCCCACCAGCGCGTCGACGTCAACACTATAACGCGTCATGTCTCAACAACGTAATTAT